TTGATTCTACGCTTTATGATTTTACCCATTTTCCGCTTCTAGGTAAAATCGCGCTTTTGACTGCATTGCGTAGAAGTCCTGAAAAGCCTTCCTAATGTCCCCTTTCAGCCACTGCCAGCTTTTTTTAAAATATTTGAAGTTGACATGTAATACACTACTGGACATGTATTTGAAAATCAACTCATGAATTTGACACAAATTCAAATACCAAATATAATGAATATCCAAACACATAATTTAACATTTAGAAATCCAAATCCTTCTATCCGAACACACCCTAAACTCCCAATCAAAAAATACACCCTTAACCATGTGCGATACTAAGAAACACAACATTAACGGCACCGCAATTTCTTTTGTTGATAACAACGGCCCAATAAGATTTATAAAATAAAATAAAACAGCACAATAATTTTAGAATCTAAAATATTTCATTTATGTTCACTCTCCAAATTCTTCGGCTTTTTTATTTTACGCATCGAGCTGTTTTCTCCAATTCACCATCGTATGGCGCGAATTATTTTTCAGAATTTCTACCAGAAAGATCCCCAAATCCTTTCATCAACGTCATCGCCGGACTATTCACTTATTAATCTTCTTTGTTTGATGTTTCAAAATACTCTCAATGGGAGTTTATTCGTCATTTTTGCTTATTCAAGAAGAAGAAAAAATATTTATTGTTCATGTAATTTAGTTCTCTGTAAACTCAAGAAGAAGAAAAAATCAAGAGAAAAAGGGGACTTATTCAGAAGCTGACGAATTAATTTCAACTATTTTGTGATGAGTTGAGGGGGTCTTTTTATTTGGACTTTGGAGCTCATTGTTTCATTATTTTTCTTTGAAACTTATTATTGGAAACCCCGTTTGCCGGCGAATGTCGGCAGAGCCGGCCGGCCCGTGTCCTTTTGGATTAGACTTTCATGAAGTGGTGAGCGGCTAAAATAAAAGGATATGGGTGTGTCTTTATGTCGTATTCATTCATAGTTTCATACAACTTTTATTCAAAATTAGATTACAAGTATTGATTTTAAATTGAATTTCTGAAATTATATGTGAATATTTCAGAAATTCAAAAAATATAAGCAAATTGTAATTGAATTTTATTTCTTTAGTATACAATTGGATGTTAAGATTGTTTTGACATGAATTGGATTATGAGGTACGCACTCGGAACCGAGGATCTATCCTCTTAAAGAAATATAAAATGAAGTGGGTTTTGCTTTTATTGATTATCCCGCAACAAACTAGGCATTAATGGAGAACATTATTGGGAGCATAGTCATGCTCGCATACACATGGCTGCGAATCTTTATTACAGAAGGACTTAAAACAATGATAATCAGACACCCCTAAAACCAACACATAATAATACTAGGCAGCGAGAGAACGACAATCAAACCCGGCCGGCCGGCCTTCATCTTTTGATCACTCCGGCCGGTCGCCGACCTATTCCATCTTTCCAAAGCCATAACAATAATAAAAAATAAAAATAAAACCAATCCCTTCCCCGCTACATGCTAATCGTCCGCCCCTACCAGATTCCATTTCAGCTGCCTGCTGTTTATTCCTGACGAAACGTCAGTCTATCAGTCATCTTCTGTTTCTGCATAATATATTTTTCTTCTTTTTTGGTTTCCGTCGGCTGAAGCAAAAGCCCTAATTAATACGTCCATTCTTGAGGCAGCCCCACATCTTGATAGTGCTTATGTCGATGCTGGTTATTCTTTGACTGCTTCGCCGATGCTGGTTGACTTTTCTGTTGCAATAGGAACGCGTACCTCACATCTCCCGTCACTGCATCTACAAATTAAGGCCATAATTACGGTGCTAATTAATTATGTATGTATTTCATTAAAACATATATAACCAAAAAAGAAAAGAATTGAATTAAATTAAATAAAGATTCCTTTCGGTGCGGTAACGCGTACACACCATGTGGTGGGAGTGGCAAGGCGGCGGCAGGAGGCGGATCTAGCGGTGATGCGGCGGTGCCAGCTGCCATTTTGTCGAAGTGGAGCTTCAGAGCCTGAACAACTCTTGCCGGCATCAACACCGTAGAATATCCTGCTGAGTTAGCCAAAAATAAAAAGAATATATTCAGATCGAGATTCAGTTCACATAGTCTTCGTCGGTTGGGAAATTAAATTATTATTTAGTTATCTAATCTAATTATTCAAAAAAGAAGAAAGAATGTTGGCGAAGCAACGAAGGAAAAGGCAAAACAAAGCAACGAAATTAAATTAAATAATTATTCAGCCGCTCCTTTCCCCTTTCAGATTCCAACCACCGCCCGCTCAACAATTAATCAAAATATACTGCGGTCTTTTAATTTAGTTAATTTGTTTACCTGGCTTCTTGCGTGATTCGGCGGGATTAGTAGGGTTCCCGGTTCCTCTAGGCAAGAACACGCCGGTGCCGGCCGACCCGACTCTACCGGGATCGCCGAGGAAAACCGCCCTCGTCACCGCCGGCCTCGGCTGCTGTGGTGGGTTCGTCCACGAGAAGGGATTTTGTCCCTTGTTGGCTGGCTCATTTGCCAAAGCTCTGTTCTTGCTGCGATTTCCCCTGCTTCCTTTCCCCTGCTGCTGCTGTTTCGGCTTCCTTGTTGTTTGGTCCTGCTTCAGCCTCTGGAGCTGCGGATTTAATTAAACAGAGCAGTTCCATTGTTTATAAGATGCACAAAACAAGAAAATGTGCTTCTTGATGAAAATTTGAGGAGGGATCGGTATGTTATGTAATCCAGAATTCTCACCTGAACAGAGCGTATTTGCTCATCAATCAGCGCCTGCTTCTTCTGCAGCTCTGAAACAGGGCTGCTGTCAATGAACACACCATTAACATTAACATTAGTGTTGGACTCCTGCTCAACTGGTCCCTTAAAATTCCCCTGTTTCTCCAACTTATCCGCCTCCTCCTGAATCGAATTCTGAACCAAAAACAACAGAGCACCCCAAGGAAGATATATGAGAGCGGATCAGAAAGCAGAAGTGGGGTTGTCCCAAGTATGTATGCAGGAGTAGTGGAATTACCTTGGCGGGGTGGATGGTACTCATAAGATCGTCAAACTCACTGAACATGGAGTCAGCCATCTGCCGGGTCAACTCAACAATGTAATCGTCGCCGGCGTCGTGGTCGCTCTCCGTCGTCTCCGACCCGGTGGAGCCGAGCTCGGACTCGAGCGGGGAGCAGAGGGAAGCGGTGCTGGTGGCAGAGGAGACATGGGGAAGAGAAGGAGACGACCAGTCGAGTTGTTGGGCGAAGAATGAATCTGAGGAATTGCGAAGGTCAACCGCCATGGGAAAACAGAGAGAGAGAGAAGAGAGGAGATGTAGGGAAGGAGGAAGACAGGAGGGGATTCGCTTGCTGAATGCTGACGCTCCTAATGGCAGTTTAGAGCTTCCTTTCTCCTGACGGAAGTCCTTTTAAATGGACTCTTTCTCAGATTGCCCCAACTGGAAAAAATGCAAAACCCCACTGTTGCTTCTGACAAAACGCAGCGCGATAAGCCGGCGGATATAGAAGAAAGAAGACGGGGTTTGTTTTTTAGGTAACCCAATCCAATTGCGTATACCACAAATTATTTTCTTCCCAAAAGTTTATTATCATAATTTTACCTAAATTTTACTACTAAATCTTGAATTACCAAATTCTATAAAAAAAATTCTTCAAAAGATAAGGCTGACTAAATTGAGTCGTCGATCTATTGATCAATGTCATTTTTCATTTGACCGTTAATTATCTCTTTAAAAGAACAAGTTACAACTTTACTGTTTGGTAGAGTCACATCCCGTCACTGTTACTTTTTAGCTTTTTACTTGTTCTCATCATTTCTCAATTGACTTTACTTGTTTTGCTTTTTCTGACCAAAGGGAGACTTTTTATTACTTATCCCTTCTTTCTTCCTCATGTCTAATCCCCCATTCCTCTCCATCTTTCTAGATCTGCTTTCTCTCTCCTTCTCTCTTTTGTGCTGAACGACGAAGAAGAAGCAAGGTGAAGAAGAAGAAAAGGAAGATCGAGACATGGGTGAAGCAGAACATGGAGGAGATCACAGAAGAATCCGGCGAAATAGAGCACCAACCGGAACTCACAGATTATCCATCAAGATAAAGTCGGTTCCTTTCTTCTAGATTTTTCTGGGTTTTTGTTCAATATCGTTCTTGGAGTTCTTCCTGCTTTCTGTTTTTGCTTCTGATTCTTGGTTTTTGTGATAAAGTCGGTTCCTTTCTTCTAGGTTTTTCTGGGTTTTTGCTTCTGATTCTTGTTTTTAGTGTTGTTTGCGGAGATGGACGAAGAAGGAAATGACCGAAGAAAATGGCGTCGACGGGATCGATGATGCTGCCTGGTGCGGATGGAGACATGTAAAAATTGTACTATTCCTTAGTGACCCATCCAAAGGGTGACCTTTTGGTTATTTCCCACAATTTAGGACCAATAGTGTAATTATATTCTTCTTTTCTTTATTCTTTCCATTCCTCTCTCTTGCTTTATTCCCATCCACTCAAATTCACTCTTTCCCGTAAACCCTCCCTCCCACACATCAATCAATCTTCATCCCTCCCTCTCTCTCAATGGGAGCAGAATAGTGCTACCACACACAAAAAAACCAGAAAAGTGAAAGAAGAACAGAAGATAGGAAGAAGAAAACCAGGAGGGGAAAGGGAGGAATGAAAACCCCGCCCACCTGTGCTCTCCTTGGCTCCCTTGCTCTCCCCATCCACATGCGCTCTCCTTGATCCAACTCCGCCGTTGTCCCTGTCTCTCTCTGTGATTGCAAATCTCCGAAATCGGCGATGCAGCGGCAATCCGCCAAGCTTGCCAAGGAAGGAGGGTTGTTCGACGGCTGGTGGTCTAGATCGTGAGTTTTCTTTGCTCTCAGTTTTTCGACGGCGATCTCATTTCTCTCCATCTGCTTTCTCTCTCCGTTAATTTTTCTGAGTTTCTTTGTTCTCTTCCTTGGGTAGAATTTCCTTCCTCTGTTTTTCCTACTCGAACCATTAAGAGAAGGGAAGTTGTGGACGACCCCGGTGCGATGGGAAGGTCGGTCATGGATGTCGGTGATGATCCCAGTTATGAGTGAGCTGCTTTCCGTTTTGAATATTTTATTTCTGGGGATTTTTTTTGTTTGGCTTGAATTCTGGTTACTTATCTTTTACTTCTGGGTTTTGCTATCACGAAAACGTACGTTTATTCGTCCGCTGACGTCGGCTGTTGTCACAATAGAGGAACTTGCCCGGCCGCAGATGAACAGTTATCAACGTCGACAAAGGTCAGTTTTTTTATGTATGTATTTCCTTTTTCGGTTTTGGTGTGTTTGGAATTTTTATTTTAAGTTCTGCTAATCTGACCAGACCTTTTCTTTTTGGGTTTTCGGGGGAGGGCAATAGGAAGGATAATGTAAGAGTTGTTGCCGGTGTAGATTTCCGAAGCCTGCAAAGTAGCAACGAGGGCTGGCCGTTGCTCTCTAGGTAAGCTTCTTCTGTTTGGGTTAAGCTTCTTCTGTTTGGGTTTTGAATTTGTTTTGATTCTGGATGGCGCCTTTCTTTGGAGTGGTTCTGATATGTTTACTTTTGATTCCAGCGAAGGGAAGAGGGAGAAGGAGTCTCGGCCCTTGGACAGCAGCAGTGTAGCTTGCTTGCCCAGGTAGAAAATGCCTCTACTGTCTAGGTGACTTTTAATTTTTCCAGTGTATTTGGTGATTCGATTTTTCCTTGGATGGATTCTGTATGTTTGGTAGAGATTATGCTGTACACGACCAACATGGCAGTGGGGTGGGGATAAAGGGAAGGTTAGAAAAACATGAGGATTGAGGATTAGAGTTCAATATTAATGAAAGAAGCAATTTTAGAGAAACGAGGGGCTTGAATCATGGGAAATCTTCCGACCCATCTGGTGGAGAGTTTATTTTGGATTCGATGGGTTTTGTTTGATTGAAGTCGTTCATGCTACTCTTTTTCCTTTTATTTGTGTTTATTGCAATATTAGTTTGAACTAATATTTTTACTGACCATTTGGTTTGTATCACTGTATGCACTCATATTAGAGGATCGATGGAAAACCTTTTGTTGCTGGGAAGACTAAGATGCAAGTGGCGATTCAGTGAAGGAAGTCAGAAACCCACAAAAGGTGATCTTAGTCCTCTGAACTTCATGTTCCCAATGGTTGTTATGCTAAAATTGTACTTGCTAGCAGAAGAGAAAATTGTAAATTACCTTCCTCGATTTGGTTTGGTTCGTTTCTATTCTTTCCAAGAAGTTACTCAGTTAGGAGAACAAAATGCAGGAACAAGGCTCGATTTTAATTGCTCGCTTGGAGAGTAGGGAAGACATGTTCATTGCATGAAAATGATGATTTCCAAGAAACTTGCAGCAAACAACTTGGAATTGGCATGGGTTATTGGGTTTCAATCTACTTGAAATTGCTTTATTGAACCTCTAGATCAGTGTTTCCAATCTATGGCCATATTTTGAGTTCATAGTTTAATTGATTCTTCAGTTTTTGAATTTTGTTTTCAAACGTTGCTTGGTGCTGCTTTCGGGTTTCAGATTGTGGCACCAAAAATTGTATACTGCCATTTCCAATTTGCGTTTCAATCTTCCAGTTTTTCATGTTATCTTTTAATCAAACACAGACTAATTGGTGTTTTGAGGTTGGTACTTTCATGGGTTAGGATCCTTTTGGAAGTTCAAATTCTTCATTAATGCCATGAAACTCTCTAGCATACCCATTCCTTGATTTGACCTCATTTTAGTTGATTTCGAGTTGGTTGATAGGCTTTGTGAATTTTAGGAACATCAGATGCCTGGATGTGAGTTGTTGGATCCACGGTATCGGGGAGTTTGTTGATTTCTATATGAAAAGGGTGGACATCCTTCCGTTCGAGGTAATTACTGGTTTGTTCAATATCAAAAGTCACTTGCCTCTTTGTCTGGTTTTTATTGACACTTGCTTCACTAAACTACAAGTAACCAACTCATTCAGTTTTTATATGCTCTCACTTAAGAATATGTTGTTGGGAGTAATGCTGCTATAATGTGGTGTCGTTGTTGAGCTTCTTTTGATTCTGGGGATGAGTAAATACCGTGACTGGTTCTCATAAGTTGTAGGGATGCGAGGAACTGGCTGGTGCTATCGTTTCTGTTGACGAATTCTTAATTGTCTGTATATTGAGTTCAATTACAGCTTGCGGTTTGGCTGTCTCAGGTTGTTTAGGAAAGCTTGGCCTCGATTAATAACTAAGTTTGCAGAGGTTTGTAAGGATACCATGTTGCTGGTTCTTATAAAATTATATTATGCCTTTGTTTTTTTGGCATGGGAAATGGCGCAAGGGAGGTTGTTAGGGAAACAACGGAGGGTCATTTCTGGCCAGGGTAACGGTGGAGGTAAGACATGTGAATAGAAGAGGGAAGGAAAGGTACACGGGATTACAAGCAAATCCACGTCTTAACACGAAAACCACTTGTTTCGAGTGATGGGATCTACAATTCGCTTAAGGCTGGAATAAAAAGGTAGGTGATGACCTTCATTTTCTGTTTTCAATTTCTGCTCACTTGCACATGAGAGTTTGTTTAATCCTTCCCGTTAGAAATACAGCCTGTGCGGTATTACAGATTGCGCTCATCAGATGTCATTGTCGAATGCTTGCTGAAAGTTCAGTCTTAACCTTCATTCTCCAATTTTTGTTTGGGTTTATTTACCATCTCTTTTCTGTTGATGAATCCTTATTTTCCTGTATACTCAGTTCGATTACAGTTGGTGGTCTAGCCATCTCTGGTTGTTTAGCTAGCATTGCTCTCGATTGACAACAGTTTGTAGATATATTAAAGGATACCATGTAGTTGGTACTTATAGGGTTATCTCAAGTGACCACGAAGACCACTATAGTGGTTCTTACTACTGGTTTTCAGCTAGCAGGTTAGTTTCGGTATATATGTTCTTAAACAGAGTATCTTTTAAAATGGATAGAAACAATAGAAGCTATCTCAAAAGTGTAATCTGGTTTGAAAATGGCCTCTGCAAATATGATGCTTTTGAATTTTCATAATTATTTTAGGTCAACCAGATTTTGAAACTATTGATAAGTTCTCTTTATTTGCAGACTGTTACTTTCTTTAAATCACACTTTTTTTTCTTTCAATTGACTGTATGATTTGATCCTTTTTTTTTTTTTGCTCATGGCAGGTCCCTCCCAGAAACATGATCCGAAGGTAATGGGCATAGGTAGATGAGAAATAGACTCAGAGATGGCAGTATCATCGAGTGTAGACCAAAACGATAGGTAAATTGTTTTTCAACTGTGTTGGGCTGAAGATCCCCTCTATAATAGAATTTGTTTTTACCTCAGGTGCAATATTGAGGTTCAGTCATTCTGTAACTTCTACTTTTGTTCTTTCTACACTTTTTTGTTTCCTAATGTGGTCTCGGTTCTTTGTTTTACCTTTTTGGCGGTGTTTTGCAGTACCAATAGGGAATGAGTTGCAGATGCAGTTGAGAGGACGAGAGCTAAATATTGTTGTTCTAAGATGAGGAGGAGAAGGTAATGTTAAAGCTTCCTATAACGGAATTCCATTTAGTCCATGTTTCCATCTCCTTCTTGATCATTTCCCTCCTTTTTATGCATTCCTTCCATAAACCTAGAGATACAAAATATTGTCATTGCTCATGTCAGTATGTTTGGATCTCAAGTGTCATCCCCAGTAGATCACCAACTAGACGAGCTTATGAAGAGAGGTTTATCAGTTAGTTCCCGATATTACTTTCAATTATCGTTCCTAAAATTGAGATATGTTTCGCTCAATGTACTTTTTCCAAACTTAAGATAATGGTTTATCACAATGTCCAGTGACTCCCATAATGTGTTCAGTATGCTCTGTGAATTATTCATTGTGCTCATAGCTTCTCATTCTTACTCTTCTTTCTTTGTGCAGTGGCTTCTCTATTGTTGATTCATGCTGCTTCATGGTTAGTTTTCTTCTCATGGAAATTAGCTTTCGTAGTCCTTGCTTGCTTGCTTATGCTTTAATTTGTACGCTTTGTTATCATTTATCTAACAACCTCCCATTGCCTATGCAGTAAGGACAAGACCGCTGCATCTTCTCTTGCTTCATCATGTTAAACCAGTCCGGTCTCGAACTTTTGTTCCTATGAATCCAGTTTTAAGACGTCTTATGTGTTATGTTCCAGGAAGTCCTTGCTCAATTTGCCTTCCCAACTTCCTTTCCTCGATGCCTTTCTCATCTGAATCCTTATATTAGTAAAATAGATAGAATTGTTGCACCACTGCTGTCATGGATTTGCTAACTTGAACAATTTTATCTTTTTTTACTTTCTTTATTCTATAAATTGACCAGTTTATAACTTTCTCTACTGTCATCTCATGTAGACTTTGTGGTTACCATATTCTTATCATAATGGAATATGTTTATTTTTCTCATGATGTGAAATTATTTTAATGATCAAGCAACCATATGAAGACAAAAAAAACCCCTACTATATCTGCTAGATAATGAGTTAAAGTTTGATCAATGTTAAGTGGCTGATTGCCTGCTATCAAATCCTAAAAAACTGTGGAGTTGGTAGATGATTCATATTTTCGATTGTGTTCAATTTATTTTTTCATGCACCTTATAGATTTATAGAGGTGGTATGACAATGCTATGTTTTTAAAATGACTTAATCTCCTTTCCTTTACCTATGGACTCTGCTGGTCTGTCGTTTCAGAATTTCAGTTAGGTAGGTGATTCTTCCTTATTCACCGATCTCACTCCCCTTTCGCGGCCTGCTCCATGGGACTTGCAAAGCTCCTTTACATGCTATATTGTTGACCTTCAATGGTTTCAACAATCATCCCAACAGTTGAGTCCCGCCGCGCAGCGCGGGTTTTCCGTTCTAGTAACAATAATAAGTATAGTCCAATGAAACTACATATTTCGAGACAAACTTGAAACGACGTACTTCTTCATGTCAAACAGCCAACATCCAACCCAAATCAAACAATTATCTCAATTTAAACCGTTTTTACCACAACAATGATCCGCTTGAGATTCATGTTACCACAGTCGACATCCATTCAACTAGCAGTACATGCTACGTTCATCAGAAACACAAGATCCTTGAAGTAATACCCTTCGTGTTTTTAGAATTCTTTTTTCAAAAAATCAAATCAATTATGAGCTCGTTTCCATTTTGTATACAGCTTTAATATACTTGATAAAGATCAAATTCATATTCGAAATTCCTTTTTTTTCTTCCTGAAAAATCTGAACAAGAAAAGGGGGGAATCAAGCTGTCCTTTTGCGTTAAGGTTGTGTGATGGATGGGGAGCCATCAAGTGTATTTGTAAGGATGGGGTTCAAATCAATATCTGGGACTGGGAGTGGTTGGGTTGGGTGGGTCGGTGGCTGGTTTTGCGTTCGGTACATTTGATTTGTTGAACTGCACAAACGAAACGACCTACCCACTTGCACCTGCCATTTGGTTCTTCTTTAAAAAGATCTGCCCACTTGACTTTGTAGGCTCATTTGGGTTTGGTTTGGTTGGTTGGTTGAGGTGTCCACGTATTGTCCTTATTGGTGTTGCCTTTTCTTTTACGGCCGGTGACGATAATTGATAATAAGTCGACGGATAGTTCGATTTTTGTTCGGTTGTTATTTGTCCGGTTCAAGTTTACCCACAGTGAGTCAGTCAACAAAGCGAAAGAGAGAGAGAGATATGTGAATGTGATTGGATGCAGATTCTCATTCTAAAATCTGCCTCCATATCTTTTAATATTATCCACAAAACTCTGTACTTATCACCCACTTTTGTTTTTGTGGATGGAAATAGCTAGCATTACCATGGTCATTTCTGGATTCATTTGGATTATGAATATCATTTCAATTGCAAAACGAGACGATTTAGTCAATTGTCTCGTTTTACAAAATGAGTTATTTTAAATGAGTCAATTCGAATTACTTGTCACCATCCTAGACAATTGTAATTGCATCAAAACGAGTCAATTCGGAATTTCTAAGGTCAAATTACTTCATTCAAATTTTCTTCTACCAAACGAGTCAATTACAATTTTTTATTAAATGACATGTTTACTTTTAAGTGCCCTTGTTAAATATTTAATAAAAAATGAAAATGAAATCACTACAAAAAAGAGTATATTTGGGGACGACAAAAGTTGTCCCCGGAAATAGGTAAAATCGTCCCTATAATTTTGGGGGACGACTAAGTCGTCTCCAATGAGTGGTTCCCTATACTCTTGTCCTCTATTCTTTTGGGGACGACAAAAATCTAGGTCGTCCCCATTATTAGGGACGACAGTCGTCCCCGATACTCGCTAGTTCTCGTCTCGTTTCTTCTTCATGAAGGACAACATGTCGTCCCTATAGCCATAATTTTAGCGACAATAAGTCGTCCCCTAAACATCATTTCTAGGGACAAATTGATGTCCCCAATAATAAATTTGATGATTGTGATGGGCCTATATGGGGATAATATGTCGTCCCCTTTTCTTTTTATAGGGTTGACATGTCGTTCCTATAGATATCAAATTAGAGTCCAAAAACCGTCCCCAAAAAGTTTATTCAAGGACTACGAGTGGTCTCTTATAATAGATCTTTAGAGACAACAAGCTGTGACCAATGATTTTTGGGGACGAGCAATCGTCCCTTAACTTATGTATTAGGGGACGAGGAGTTGTCACTTATGCACCTTCCGGTATCGACTAATTGTCCCATATGTAACTCATATGAACTACTTGTTGTCCTTTAACGCGTGTCTTTGGGAACGACTAATTGTCACAGGTTTCACTGGTGGGGACGATCAATTGTCTCTTAACTTGAACTTTTTAGGACATTTTATTGTCACCTATCTAACTGGTAGGTACAACCAAAC